ATATAAATATATATAGATATATTTATATATACATAATATGTGTGCAAGTTACAATACGACTTGTTAATATAGTGCTGCCATCTTCCATGGCGCTGTACCACAGCATTGCAACCTCAGGCACTGCAGTTCATTTTTTATACTCATATTACTTATTCACATATACACATTGCAGTGACATATTTACATAGCGCTGTCATCTGCCATAGCGCCCTGCCATGTCCTCAGCAGGTACTGCAGTTCCCCAGGCTGTGTACATTTGGGTGTCATGTCTGTTTATATATGTGTACTGATGGCAGGATCTCTATGGGCTGTGTTACATGAAGACGGTGCTCACACGTAAAGGGCTTTTCCTTAGAAGCTGACCTCTAGACATTTCTGAATTCGGCTCTGAAGTCATGAATACATCATTAAATGTATTGTGTACATGCAGGCTGAATGTGACCTGGTATCGGCCTCTTGTGGCCCCTGTACAGCTGAGCTGGAGTGTAAGAAGAAGAAGAAGCAGCCGCCAATCAGTTCATGGGCTGATAGGAGGAGAGTGCAGAGAGATGAGCTCCTCACTGTGCTGCTTCTCCTCTCAAAGTCCAATCACAGGCTGGGTGTTGGTCATGGGTGACCGGGGCTCAGAGGAAGAGGGTCGAATGATGCTGGACATCACACTGAGGACATCTAGATAAAAAGTTCTGTGGGGGAAATCTCTGGATGGCAGAGGAATATTGCAGCAAAAGCTGATTGTATTATTTTATCTTCTAATGGGCTGGTTATTTGTATCTTTTGGCTGTAGCTCTGGTATAATAAATAGTTGTTCATAGTGATGTTACCTGTCCTGAAGAGGAGGAGGGTTTTTCCAATCCAGACAATATAATGTATTCTGGTCTGCCACCTGCCTGAGCTCCAGTGATGCACACTCTGTAACTGGGAGCCGGCTTATTATGTTGGTCAGCAAGTATCAGACCTCAGGTGACCATAGCAATGGCAGCTCCCATATGAATTCTGGCCTGTCACCTGCCTGAGCTCCAACAATGCACACTCAGTAGCTGGGAGCCGGCTTATTATGTTGGTCAGCAAGTATCAGACCTCAGGCGGCCATAGCAATGGCAGCTCCCATATGAATTCCGGCCTGTCACTTGCCTGAGCTCCAGTGATGCACACTCAGTAGCTGCGAGACAGCTTCTTACATGGGGTAGCTATGGGACAGGGACTAAAGGGAAATCTCCCCAGTGGGACACGGATGTCAAAAAAGAGAACTGACCAGGGTTATAACCCTCCCTCGCTCTATCCAAAACGAAAAAGGTTTGGCTTCAGTTCTACGTTAAGGGTCCTATTGATAAAGCAGTTACTCTGACATTCACCAGTCAGCCGCTGCAGGTGAATCTTCCTGATGCATGTGTTTTAAATGATTGTTTCACCACCAGTGAATATATATATATTGTAAAGAAGATGGGAGTGACTGCTCCTTTAAATGTCATTTGTGTTCATTGTCCCCTACATGCTAGTGATCTGTCTTGCTGACTTCCTGCTGTGTTTCCTCCCAGGGATTCCTCTCTACTTTGTGGACCTACAAGATGATCTGGACGACTGTAAGTCTGCATTGCGGGGGCTGGACGTCATCGCGCGCCTCCACTTCCTCCTTTACATGACTCTTGCTTCCTCCAGTGCCCGTATTTCAGGTCCTATTATTAACCAACCAACCAATCACGTCTGTCTTTCTTTTCTTTTTTTGAACTGTTGTGAAAAAAGAATGTATTAGCTCTGGGTTAAAGGGGAACTCCAATCAAAGCAGCAACTACAGTCAAGCATTTTTTTCAAGCCGCCCTCCTGCATGCTTTTAGATGCTCTGTGTGGCAGACGAGCCGCGCAAGCTTTTGCCTGCTGTAACGCCAAAAACCTGCCTTTCTTACAAGGGTCTCATTGAAGGTTCAGGATAAGGCTGGCCATTGCGAATTGCATTGCGGATTGCATGCAATTGAGCAAAGCAAACTCCGGGCAGATATACAACTCACCCTTGCAGTGTGGCTACCCCTGTACTTCAAGGGTTAAGTGCTCCTTTTGGTCTAAATCAGTGGTTCTCAACCTGTGTCACCTCAGGACCCACATTTGTCCTCGGTCATGAAGTTGCGATACAAGTCGCACCGCAATGGAACACAGGGCATTGCGGCATCGTGCGTCCAGTGTGGCCGATTGAACTGTGGGTGGGAGGTGCATTTGGGGTACCATTCAAATGAATGGCAATACAGCTCCCACATCAGAATGCGCAGTAGGTGCGATTACATGGTACTACGTGCTTAACGCGCTGTACTAGTGTGAACGGGCCCATCAAAAACACTGACAGACACAATCTTACACACTCGCAGGCATTCTAACAAACACATACACACTGCAAAAAAATTTTACTTTTTTTTTTTTTTTTTTTTTTAGGACCACCCAGTCTCCTTACCTTACAAGAACTGGAATGGATCCTCAGCCTGGGGTCCAGTGTGGGCTGCTGTGCTGTGACGGAGCTCCATCTATATGAGCATTGCTTGTACAGCTCCCTTGTGCGCCCTGTAGAGGTCCAGGAGCCTCTACAGGACACATGAGGGAGCTGTAAGCAATCCATGTATGGCTGGAGCTCCCTCGCGGCCATAGCCCCATCCCACCGGCGATCCCCCATCGGCGATCCACTGAACACTGGTTCGCAACCCACTTTTGAGTCACGACCCACCAGTTGAAAACCAAGGCTCTAGGGCAGGGGTAGCCAAACTCCGGCCCTCCAGCTGTGGTGAAACTACAACACCCATGATGCATCTCTCTCCGAGAGTCCTGTCTGTGGCTGTGAGAATCTTGCAATGCCTCATGGGATTTGTAGTTCAACCACAGCTGGAGGGCCGGAGTTTGGCTACCCCTGCTCTAGGGGATAGCATAAAGCAGATTTACTTACCTGATCCTGGCTTCCTCTGGGCTGCTGGACATGTCCCCGCAGCCTCTTCTTCCCCGGGCACCAGTGGTCTAAGTACCACTGACGTCATAATGTCTTATGCAGGGCTATTGACATAGACAAAGGGATGCTGAGGGACATCCCATAGCCAGAGCAAAGTGAGAGACGTGAATTCTGGCCGCCACAGGTCATCAGGTGGGTAAAACTGCTTTATTGCGGCCCCTAGACCAAAATGAGCACTTAACCCGTCCGCTGCGAGTGGAGCCCCACTGCAAAGGTCAGCTTTTATTTACCCAGATTCTCCATTAAAGACTGGAACAGGATATCTGGGTACCTCACCTTTGGTGGATGTAACGGGCCGCCACTGACACTCACATTCATCTATAGCAGATTTTTCTCCAATGCTCTCCAGACAAAGGGAAACAGGAAGTCTTGCCCACAACATTACCCTGGTGGTCACAGGGACAGGAAATAAAAGGAAATCTTAGCGCAGATGCAGAAAGCAGTAAAGAATGTAACTCTTCCATATGATCCAAAACAAAATACTATGGACGGAGTTCTGCTTTAAAAAGGGGATGTCAGAATACAAAATAAAACTAGCTGATTGCTGATAACATGTGCTTTAGCCATGCAAGGGAAAGAAAAAAAGGTTTAGTACATACCGGCCTCTGCAGAAGTTTAGATTTGAGCTTCCTTTCACTCTTCTTCCCAATTGTTCCCCGAGCAACCCAGTACTTCCAGGTGACTCGCTCCCCTCTGGCTTATGTGGCAGCACTGGTGTTTGCTGATTGGCTTAGCTCTGTCACATGGGGAGTGGGTCCTGAGTCCTGTGTAAGCTCAGACTGAGGTCACCTTGGAGCTTACACAGGGGCTTTTCTCCTCACTCTGTGGGGAGCAAATGGAAGGTACATATAAGATGATATGGGTGCCTGCATGGGTCAAACACAGGTCCACTTTAAGACTAGGGCCTGGAATGTATATTTTAGCTATGAGAGCTTGGTTTTAGAACCAAGTCGATGAAGAGAAGTGAGTCTCGCGGAGGGCAGCCAATAGGGTGGGATCAGGTTACAAGCATCTTGTTTAGGGATGCACCGATACCGAGTATTTGGGCAAGTACTCGTACTTTCCTAAATGCTCCGATACCGGAGGAAGATTTCCTCTGACTGACAGTGCCATAGTGGAACATGGAGCCAGCTTCCTGGGAATGGCCCGGCTTCTTGATTGGCTAAACAGCTGACTTTGCTGGGAAGCCAGCTCCCTGGCCAATCAGCATCGAGCCAGCTGAACAGCTGGCTCGATGCTGATTGGCTGGGAAGCCGGCTTTCAAGCCAGTGGACATGGAGCCGGCTTCCTGGCCAATCAGGAAGCCGGGAGGTAGGTCATTACTCTTCGCCCGGCTTCCTGATTGCCTGGGAAGCCGGCTCTGTGGTGTTTGGCTGGGAAGCCGGTTTCCTTGCCAATCATCTTCAAGCCGGCAAAACATGGAGTTGGATTCCTGGAAAATCAGGAAGCCGGCTCCATGCCAGTGGAAACCCCGGTATCGGCGAGTATCGACAGCAAAGTAACCGATATCGGTGCATCTCTAATCTTGTTCATTTTGTGTTTGTTTCTCTTTACTTTTGCTACACTGCATTATTTCCCCCTCTAGAAAAGTCATTTCCTTTTCTGTATACCCCCCACGCTATTCGGAACAATGTATGTTATCAGTCAGTTTCAGAACCCCTTTGAAGCGGACCTATAGCTAAAAACATCCTGCTGCTGTTTCATCTCCCCTCGGTTCACTTTCATCCACACAACCTTTCCTGTGTTCTTACTCATCCAGTCTGTTTTGCATGTTCTTTTTATTATGTTTGATTTTACTTTGTGTAGATTGCTGCAGGCTGATATCCTTGTGTTTTTATTGACATACGTATTGTCCTTTTCTGATACCATTTCCTTCTGGCGTCACATGTGGGATTCTATAGGTGCCGGTGTTAATCATTCACCATCAAGGTCGCAGCAGTGATTATGCAGGGAAAGGAAGGACGAGGAAATTGGTTTACGTAATAGGGCCGTTCAAAGAGCATCTCATTAGAGCAGCCTGCCGCAAGAGCGATATTGTGTTTTAAATCCCAAACTTCCTTTTTTTGGATCGGATAAGATGGGGAAAGGATTAGAACTGCTCCCACGGGAGAGATTTTTCCTTAGTTCCTGTTCCTAAGGGACTGTAACAGGAAAAAGTTGGGGATTGATCAGGCTTTAAAGCTGAACTCCGGGCAGAAGTTTTATTATGAATATAAAGGTGACTTCATGCTTTAATAGAGTGACACAGAGCCATCCAGACAATGAGAAACCCATATTCAGGAAAAGCCCCCTGGCGCCCTGGCCATAAGACCAGTGGCCACTATGCCTGCTCTCCCCCCTGGCCGCCTGTCATGTGCATTCCCCGCTGTAGTTCTTTAGTAAGCGAGTGATGACATCATCCGCTGTAATGGGCAGACCAGTGGGGTCTCAGACCCGGTCTAATTCATAGTCTGATCCGCTATACACATATCCGCCCATTTGGGATGCTGATTCTCTGGGCATAATGAGAATTGTAGTCTCGGTGAGCTGCCGCCAGGACTAACAGGAAGTGACATTGCGGCTTCTGACAATGTGCAATAAACAAGAAAAAACACATAAGCAGTTTTTGTTTTACTAAAGCAACAGATCTACTGCAGTGATTAATTTACCATCCCGCGGTTCTTCTTTAGAAGTGTCTCAGGTTTGTATTGCTTACCCCGTGATATCCAAAATATTCAAATGGAACTCCATACAAAACAGTTAGAGCCTCTGTCAAGCACTTCTTGGTGTGTGTGTGTGTGTGTGTGTGTGTGTGTGCACACTGGAGAGACTTCCCTTCTATTCCTGTCCTAGTGACCACACTGTGACAATCTCCTTCAGTGGGGTGCCAGGTGACAATAAAAACCTAATAGAGGTTCCAACACTTTCCAAGTCTATCCAAAATCTAAAAACAATGCTTTAGTTTTGGATTAGGTGAGAGGAAAACCCAGATCAGGTTTGCATTGTTATTTGGGGTGACCTTAGAGAGATTTTTACATCCCTTAGGGGTTCATTTATAAAAAAAATTTAAAGAAATTTCCCCTTCCTGTCCTGGTGACCACCCGTTTTGCCAGGCAGGAAGTGAGGGGAAATCTCCAACAGCAATGCAGAAATTAAAATGATTTTTTTAGTAGGGCAGTAGAGGAAGCTTTGTATAGCTGTCTTGAGTCTTTGCCAGATATGCCGTTCGCATGGCACTAGGGCCCCTAGATGTCGCTGACGAGTATAGGAATTTCCTAGGGCAGTAGAGGAAGCTTTGTATCGATGTCTTGAGTCTCTGCCCTTATATATAATTTGCATGACACTAGGGCCCCTAGTTGGTGCTGATGAGTATAGGAATTTCCTAGGGCAGTAGAGGAAGCTTTGTATCGATGTCTTGAGTCTCTGCCCTTATATATAATTTGCATGACACTAGGGCCCCTAGTTGGTGCTGATGAGTATAGGAATTTCCTAGGGCAGTAGAGGAAGCTTTGTATCGATGTCTTGAGTCTCTGCCCTTATATATAATTTGCATGACACTAGGGCCCCTAGTTGGTGCTGATGAGTATAGGAATTTCCTAGGGCAGTAGAGGAAGCTTTGTATCGATGTCTTGAGTCTCTGCCCTTATATATAATTTGCATGACACTAGGGCCCCTAGTTGGTGCTGATGAGTATAGGAATTTCCTAGGGCAGTAGAGGAAGCTTTGTATCGATGTCTTGAGTCTCTGCCCTTATATATAATTTGCATGACACTAGGGCCCCTAGTTGGTGCTGATGAGTATAGGAATTTCCTAGGGCAGTAGAGGAAGCTTTGTATCGATGTCTTGAGTCTCTGCCCTTATATATAATTTGCATGACACTAGGGCCCCTAGTTGGTGCTGATGAGTATAGGAATTTCCTAGGGCATTAGAGGAAGCTTTGTATTGCTGTCTTGAGTCTCTGCCCGGATATACCATTCGCATGGCACTAGGGCCCCTAGATGGTGCTGATGAGTTTAGGAATTTTCTAGGGCATTAGAGGAAGCTTTGTATTGCTGTCTTGAGTCTCTGCCCAGATATACCATTGGCATGGCACTAGGACCCCTAGTTGGTGCTGACGAGTATAGGAATATCCTAGGGCAGTAGAGGAGGCTGGAAAAGAAGGGCAGACTGGGCAGGACAATCTGCTTTAATTCCTCTTGAGCAGGAATTAAAATTCTGCTCACACTTCATGTTAAAAAGGGGATTAGCGTCCTGCTCTTGAAACCTGTAGCACGGCTGAGCATCTGAACAGATCGCTATCTCTGAGCTGGATACAAATTAGCTTAAATAGCTCCCTTGGCTGCTTTGTGTCCATCATAGTGTAACCCAAGTATCCCTGTATATAGGTGTGGATACAAGACACCCTGCGTCCGACACACACACAGTAACGTGATACTTAGACAGGTCTGCTCCACGCTAAGGGGGGGGAACATAACGCATCTCTTTCTTCTTCTTTAAGTTGGCTTCGAGGATTATGGACCAGACTGTGAAAGCATGAGGATAAGTGCTTTCCTGGACATTCCCGGGCAGGACAACCTGACACCCCTGGCGCGACTGGAAAAATACGCCTTTAGCGATAATATATTCAACAGGTAAATGTTGTGACGTTGCAATTAAAGGTAAACTCCACCAAAATCCAATAGTCCTTGGTGGGTTCTAATAACCTGCTGGCTTCTTATATGTAAATGCCAGTCCAGCGGTGAAAGTTCCATACACCGGCTTCAGTCTCTGCTCCCTCCTACAAGGCCAAATCAAAGACATCAGTGTTTGAGAGCTGGAATCCTGAATAAATATGGCGTGGAGAATGCATAAGGGGGGCATGGCACCATTACTTGGCTTTGGAATGGCCATTGAGAAGAGATGGGAAGTTGGGTTGCCTGTGGATTGCCCTGAAAGCTACAAGAAGCCGTCATGTGATTGAACATGCCAGCCCCAACACAAGGCTAACAGACCAATCATGGGGGTGGAGATTACAGGTTACCTGGGGGAAATACGAAGATATTTCGATTAGCAGTGAAAAGGTTTACATTTTTCCATGTTGATATGCCCCAACATGAAACGTGGTGGTATCATGAGCAGCAGGAAGTAAACCTAAAACGCCAGCGCTACAGCCAATGTACTACCGCACTGCATTGCATAAGTGATGTCTTCGGTCTCTGCCCAGCTCTACCATTGGCATGGCACTAGGGCCCCTAGATGGTGCTGACAAGTATAGGAATATCCTAGGGCAGTAGAGTCACATTTAGACCTTTGGGTTATGAACTAGGACGTGTACCAACAATGGACATTTATTTCATGAACACATTCAGTTACAGTAGGCCAGTAGGCAGTACACAAGGACCATTGGAAAGGCTTAAAATATGGATACTCATACTTTAAAGAGAACCAGTCACCGATGGGCATCCACAATATTCTGAGTCTTCACTCTTAATTTAAACCACTAATATAAAAGTACAGTGATACATTATAGAGAATGCTTGTTTTTTTTTTTATTATTTCCTAATATTCTCTCCTCTGTCAGAGCAAAGGTAAAAGCCTGTCCTGATTCCTGCCTGAGCTTATTGCTGATAGAACACTCGCAAAGCACTGTCATATAACACAAGCACGGTCAGGATTAAAACAAAAAAACCTAAATACTTTGTTACCTGACAGTTTACCACTTCCAGGAGACCAGACAGAATGTCAGTTATCAGCCCTGAGCTGAAGCAGGAGACAAGGCAGCTTCTGTGAGCTCCTGCCTGCCACAGGCTGACGCGTGTTCTGACAAGGAGAGAATACAAATAACTGCACACACTACCATCCCTGCATTATTATGTCAGCCTAAGTGTGGAGCCTGGGACTCTTATAAATGCTCATTGCTGACTAGCCCTCTGTAAGTTTTTAGAGGCTCCTGGTTGCCCAATTCTGGGATGACACTATTGTCATGAAATAGCCACATAAAAACTGAAGATATACTATACAAGCTACAGATATTCTAACTGGATCTTGCTCTATGTTTATACATTCTTCCCTCATTAAAAACTGACTAACAAAGATTCACTTGGTGTGGGGGTGACATTTCTAGCTACAGGAATGTGTACACACTAAGGAACAAGTATTTAGAGCAACTAGTTGCGGCTTCAAAGTCTTGTGTCCATTGTCGCCACATAGCTGTTGTGATGCACAGTACCCTTACAGTGTCCTGTATAGATCCAAGGGTACAGAATGGATACAGGCCACTGTATTGGGTGTTAGTAAAGATTGGCATTGCGTTAATTCAAAGCTTTTTTGTCTGCTGATCCCGCTTTCATACTTCCAGCTAGGTTGCCTCTTAAAGCCAGTGTAAATGGTCTCCTGACACCGTATCATTGACACTAGTCCTCTCCTTCTAAGCCTGGCCATAAGCAGCCCAAAATGTTCATTAATTCGAGCATACTTGTGACAATCCCCTGTGCAGCCCATCGTCTACATGCTTTAAATCTGGTGTTTTTGAATTTCTCCTACAGGCAGATCATCGCCCGCGGCTTGCTGGATGTGCTGAGAGATTTCAGCAGTACAGAAGATGATTTTCTCACGGTCATGGAGATCGTTGTTCGCCTGTCAGAAGACTCAGGTCAGCAATGGGGTCTATCTTTGTATTATTCCTGGTTTTTATAACGAAATAGAGATTGGATGTCAGCAGAGATAAATGAATGAGTTACAATCAGTCAGGAAGCACAGCATGTATACATCATCAGGAGAGAAGCCTGGCCATATATAATTACATACTAATAATAAAAAGGTTTTGGATGCTTTATCTATGAGGACAGGACTCTCTACAATAAAATGGCCCAAGATATTTTTGTAAGTTAGGGACAGCTCTGAAGTGCACCCGCATGTACTGGTGTTATTCTTCATATAGATTGCCTATAGCGTTTCCTTGTATCCTAGGCCCAGGCTGTACATGGGACTTTGAATTCTGGGCAAATTTAGATTAAGACCCTCCCCTTCCTGGCACTGAGCCCTGCCCCTCGTTGTTTAGATGTCAATCTGCTACCCAGTTAATATCTTGCATTTAAAATGCAGAGAGTGAGGCTTAGCATCTGGAGGGGATTGTCATTTCTGCTGGGGAGAAGTGAAGGCTCAATGTACAGCATGGGCATAAGGTTCACGGAGGTGCAGTAGGGGCGCAGGGACCGAATAAAGACTAACACAGGTACTTGTAGGCACCACAATGCCTGTACTTCAGCACTGCTGCTGTCTTGGAAATCTTGGTGCTAGGTTGGGTCCAAAGTTTTCCTTTAAGAGGAAGTTTTACTCTTTTATATTGTGTAGGGTTGGAGGACTGGATTTTCTGCAGAGGCTAGTTCATGCAGAACAATATACGTCTAGCTGAAGCATCTATGATGGTGCAGGACATTTCCTGGGAAATGGGGCATCCATTTTTTTTTCTTTCCTGCTGTGCTCTCCAGGCCTCTCTTTATAATAGTGTGCACAGTCTGATGACCAGTGGCAGCTAGCGACCCTTTTCCAAGGCCCTTGTGTAGAGTAGGGCTGCAACAACGAATCCATTATGACAATAGTTGGCAACTAGAGAGAGATTGATTTTTAATGCAACCAATCGATTAGTTGGCAACAAATCGATTATGAAAATAATAGTTAGCTGCAGCCCTAGTGTAGAGCAGTGTTGCTTTTTTTGTGTGTAATGAAAGCTTTAATGGTGATTGTATCTTCTTTGGTCTTTACAGAGCCCACTGTGCGCACTGAGCTGATGGAGCAGATACCGCAAATCACACTTTTCCTGCAGGAGAGCCGACCTCAGTTTCCACGGGCCTTTTCCGAATACTTACTGCCCATCATAATCCGTTATCTCACAGATCCCAATAACCAGGTGAGCTAGAGCTTCATACCATATCATTTCACACTGCCCTTCACGGTTCATTATACAAATATATTTATATGCATATATGTTAAAAATAGACTTTATTCCTAATCAAAACCCAATACTTGATTACTCTGGTGTCACATGTCAGGTTCTCAACACATTCAGGCATGTAAAAGCAAGGTGATCCAAGCTCTATTCCCCCTCTCTTCTTGAGCCTATGACACCTCTAGCTTAGGAGGATGGACATATAGACCCCCCATTGATGACTTATTTTTAATTTGCATTCTGTAGGTTTATATTTGTCCTTCCTTTACTATGTTATATGCTATAATAGTTCTATAACATTAGTATGTGTTGCATGTGTGCTGGTCCTTAAAGCCAACTCTAGGTAAAAAAAAAGTAGGGGCCGGCAACTAACAGTGCTTGCCTCTGGACTGGAGCATGGACAGAAGCGCACTGCCTTTCTCCTAGAGTACATCACACGTTCATTGGGAACCTGGTACTAAATCTTTCCTAGACGGCCTGATTCTAGGTCAATGTTTTTTGCCTACCAGAGCAGCTACTTCACTGCGATCTATTGAATGTCATCCCTTGAGCCAAGCTATTGAAAGAATAAAAAAAATAAAAAGTCACCTTGCCAAAAAAAGCAGCTCAGTCTGCAATACTCGTCTTCAGTATAGAGTGGTCCTCCGCAGTAATACCTTTTCACCACAAGGTGTCCTAGGACCTGAAGACTATGGTCATACTGTGAGTGTAGGGTGCCATGGACATACCTCCATACTTCCATGAAGGGGGATAGCGGACTCCAGGGGCTGCACCTGGGCTTTAAAGTGCATCTGGAAATTACTAATAATTGTAATGTTTATATGGACCAGCGATGAAGGTGTTAGTGTGATGTCACGTTAAAGGCTTACGCTTGGCTCTACTTCCTCTATACCTCATTGCCCTGTGGAAATTCAGAAGCCCATTGTGACATCAAACTTCTGTCTGCCATTTATAAAGGATTAATGCAGTTCAGGGAGACTATAAGCATTACATTCAGTAATCATTACAGAAGCTTTTGTATAAGCACATAACAGACCTTAAGCTGAGCAGTTCAGCTTTAATTATTAAACTGGAAGTAAACTGGAAACTTTTGGCCCCCGGGAGGTATTTGCCATAATGTGCTAGCATGCACAGCATATTAGCACATGGCGGTCGGCTTACCTTTCAGGCAATCCCTTCCAGTGCTGCAATGTCAGCGCTCTCCTCCGCCGCCTGTACTGCTTCTCTTGATGGGCCGGGATGATGTAACTCCTACGCATGCGCACTGGACTTACTTAATTTCAGCACAGGACCTTACTGATCTTCTGCACTGAGCTGTACAAGTGCACAGAAATGTTGACAGGCAGGGAGACCTACAGAGTCTCTTCTGCCATAAAAACTCTGTTGATGATTATTATTATTATACAGGATTTATATAGCGCCAACAGTTTGCGCAGTGCTTTACAATATAAGAAAGACATTACAATACAATTTAAGACGAGATGGTAAGCAGGGGCTGCCCCTGAGGGCTTACAATCTAAAAGAGAGGGGGGAGTGATACATGAGGATTTTTTTTATTGTCTTTTTTTTTTGCAAGCTTTATTTCCACTTTCAGTCAGCACATAGCCCATAGTAACCAATCACTATACACCCTTTCATGGACAGAACAATGAATGGTGATTTCAATGCTGTGGGTCACTTCACCTTTTTGTATGCAATACATCTGCATGTTTCAGTTTTCCAGGAACCAGTTTGGTATTTTCATGCACAGAGGGGAGAGTTAGAGCATCCTAACAATGCACGAGCAAGAACCGGTTTGCCCACTTTGCTTGACGTGTTCCTAGTCAGTGTGAAGCTTAACAGGGCAACTCCTAATTTATTTTATCCCTCAGGTGCTGCATTCACTGGAAACTTGCTGTAGAATGTCTGCCTGTCTGTGCAAGCAGGCATTGTAAAAATGTCCACTGTAAACTCCCTGCCAGACTGACCTCTGCCTGACCTGCCTTTAGCATAGGGGAGATGGAGAATGCATAGATCTTTCATCGATAGTCCCGGAGAAAGGACCGTGTCACTGAGTTTGCTGAACCCACCATGGATTGATAATTGAGAGGTGTCACATTCTGGTTTGGTTGCTGTAAAAGCTTAATTGTTTTCCATGAAAATACATAATCTAACTCTCAGGAACGATGCTTGGATAAGTTACACCACCTGCAGGAAGCATGGGCATATAGCATAACACTGCATGGCCATGGAAAGAACTAGGGCTCAAGGTTGACACTGTTTGTTTAACCCAGGGGTAGGCAACCTCGGCATTCCAGCTGTGGTGAAACTACAAATCCCATGATGCCTCTGAAAGTCATGCCTGTGGCTTTCAGAGTCCTGCAGTGCCGTGTGGGATTTGTAGTTCTAAAACAGTTAGGGTGGCGAGGTTGCCTACCCATAGTTTAAGCCCTTCATGATGAGGAGATTTTAAACCTTCCTGACCAGTGCTACATAAGTGATTGCAAAGGGGTTTTGTATTTACCATGAATGGGTAATCCAGTTTTTTTACAATGTCTGCCCTGAACTGGCATTCAAACTTTAAATGAGAAATATGGGAATTGGCATTTGCTACATATTTGTGCGTGCTGGATACTCCCAGAGCCCCATATTGGTTTATTACAGATGGGCATGCCATGTTGCCATAGCCCACCAGTTCAGCGGTGAAATTCATCAGCCGCTCTCCAGGTCCCTGCGCTTTGGTGTGCGGGATTTCTTGTAGACTTTGAAGGCTCTGACACGAGGCAGCTGGAGAGTTACAGAACTGGAAGTGCTCAAGGCAGAACTTCACAAGGTGACATTAAGAAGTGTTGTCAAAATCTGCTGTCGGCAATGGCAGTCCCCATATTCATTCCCTGACAGGTGTACTTGAAGCCTCTACGAGTGCCCAGAAGGCATCTGGGGAATAGCAATTATCCAGAATATTGGGGGCATCAGTGGAAAGATCTGATTAATGTCCACTATTTATGGCAACGTCATCTTTTTTTAGGTTTGATTTAAGTGAGGAAAGATTAGCTCCTCATGTATCACATGTACAGCTTCCTCCTTATGTATCACTTGCCCCTCCCTTTTAGATTGTAAGCCCTCACGGGCCCTTCTTACCATCTTGTCTTGAATTGCATTGTAATTGTAATGTCTTCCTTATATTGTAAAGCGCTGTGCAAACTGTTGGCGCTATATAAATCCTGTATAATAATAATAATTAGAGCCTGTATCTACTCCCCCATTGGGGATATTTTTCCATCACTTCCTGTCTCAGACGCACAATAGGAAGTGAAGGGAAATCCCCCTTCTTTGACAGTTGTCTCCAGACAGGTGTCTCCACTTGTATTATCCTGTTCTGGAATCAACTCTAAAATTTCAGTTTTTCTGCCTGTTCACAGATTACAAACAGCAAAAAAAACCCATTTTGGCTGGACTTCCACTTTAAGAGCAGGAACTGCAAATTGCAGAATAGCTGAACATTTATGTCTCTGGTTCTGGTCTCTAGGTGAGGAAGGCAAGCCAGGAAGCTCTGCTGATTCTGCTGGAGCAAGACTTGATCGACCAGAGTGACCTCGAGAACAAAGTGTGCCCTATACTGCTGGATCTCTCTGCTCCAGAGAATGACGACGAATACAAAGTGGAAGCTGTGAATGTAAGTGAAAGGGTAGGCGTGAGTCGGTGTCCTCCTGCGTGCTTGCACAAGCACATTCACACTGCATACCTCTGACACTGTGTAGGAGTCTCATTCTTCACTGCTTCGGGTCACAAAACCCAACATGACTCAACATAGACAGCTGAATTCAATAAGCCACAGCACAGAGCAATGATGTGCAGAGTGTGGTAGACTGTAGCAGGCATTCAGATATGTGAGCAGAGGATGATAAATGTCATGTGGCTGCTCTTCCTCTGCATTGAGCATTTCTGTACTTTGCTCTTTTTAGAATAAACCTCTTTATTGTTTTATTACAATTGAGAAACTTTAAGGTGACTTTGTCAGCAAAAAAGAAAGGTTAAAGAGACCCCGTCACCAACTTCCTATCCTAGTATTTTAGATGCTTACTTGCAACTTTGTTGCGCTCCATGTTTTTTTTTTCTTCACTTTCAATGTGCCTTTGACCTTCCTAGGGAATTCAACCACTCTAGGAAGATTCAGTTCCCCAGCACATCTCCTTCCATGTCATACCTCTCTCCTCTTCTGGGATAGTCTAATTACTCTCTGTGCTGGCCAAGCTCCTTCACTTCTCTATATAATCTTTTACGTAGTTGCTGGGGGAGGAGGGAAGGGGAATACTATTGAGTGTCATTTGAGTGACAGCATTGATTCTGCCTGGGCTGCTGACATCAAATCGAAGAGGATGGCCCCCATCAGACATCAAACCCAAGAGAATGGCGGCCAACATCAGTCTCAGTCCCTGAGGCTTTTGGGTTTCTGCACACGGGAGGCTTTTACAGCTAAATAACACTGATAAAATATGTTAAATGCACATATAATCTTTTTGGGAAGATTGTTGTTGAAATAAATGGTCGGGCACTGGGTCTTTTTAAAGCAGAAGTAAACCTAACTTTTTATTTTACACCATCAGCAAGTAGATATTACGTACTTGTGACAGTCGGCATTCAAATCCTCCATACCCTTCCCTATGCTGACATATCACTGTATTTAGTAACTGTGATGTCACTTGCACATGCGCAGTTCACCTCTCAATCCCGGCATCTTGGATGTGTCGCAGTCTGTATAGCACCTTGCCGGGATTACGCCATCTTCTATCTTGCTATTTTCCTCTTCCTTACGGAAGCCCCTTGTGACTAGCAATGTCACTGGGCTTAGTAAGCTTTTCCTAAAGTGCCACCTTCTTTTCTACTTGTTTGCATGATGATGAGCTGTGACGTTGATGATCATTTCACACCACCATGGCAGCTTGGAATCCAAAGTGAGGTTTGAATCGCTGTGGTCTGCACATGTGCGAGATTAAGAGGTGACATGCGTTGAGGGCAGAAGCAGTGTTAGGAAAAGAAAACATTTGTTCTTCCCCCGGCTTCCATCCGTTCTTCCACCGGCTTCCACCCGTTCTTCCCCCGGCTTCCATCCGTTCTTCCCCCGGCTTCCATCCGTTCTTCCCCCGGCTTCCATCCGTTCTTCCCCCGGCTCCCATCCGTTCCTCCCCCGGCGTCCATCCGTTCCATCATTTCCTGTGTGTGCTCAGATCGGTCCTATGGAATAAACCTTTTCTCTCTTTCTCCCAGATTATCTGTAAAATGATTTCCATGCTCGGCAGACAGACAGCTGAACAGATGTTACTGCCGCGATTCTGCGACCTCTGCAGCGACAGCAAGCTCTTCCAAGTCCGGAAGGTATGGAGAGATAGGTGGCCTAACGCCTAAGGGTATGGGTGTGATCACTGAGATCTCAGCGGCTAAGGCTGATCTGTGGGGATGACCTTTAGAAATGTTTTCTATCTTTTTCAGGTGTGTGCAGCAAACTTTGGTGACGTGTGCAATGCGGTTGGCCAAGAATCTACTGAGAAATTTTTGGTAAGATTTGGAATCCAGGTGGTGTTTTGTCTCAGTTATGAAACATAAATGCTTTTCTTTCGGCAAGATAAAATATTGTATGAGTTTTTTGTTCATCACCAGTGAATGAGTCAGCCATTTTGTTAGCTTAAGGTGAACTTTGGTGCAAATAATTAAGTACACAGTCGATACAGGTGAACTTTTTTTATCTGCTACATGCTTTGTTCAGCCAGTGCTGTGATTTACCCTGCTATGGCACACAATACATAGCCAGACACATAATGCCCTTATTTCCTGGTTTGGCATTATAGTATCCTAGGTGATCTGCCAGTCCACTAGATTGAGGAGAGGACAATGATTCATTGCCTAGTATGCAGATTGCAGGTGGAAATGTAGCAAGGCTGAACCAGGAGTCCGCTTCCGGATTGTGTTGTGTCAGAGATATGTAATTCACAAGATTGGCAGAGCAAAATGACAAATCCTTTATAGGTGACCTAGTTCACAAATCTTTTACTGCTGTAAATTTGACTGTAGTTCTGCTTGAATTAGTGTTCGTGATAATGCAGCTTGTTAATTGGTTAGGACTGCAGCCTGATCTCTACATTCTCAGTAATGTAAATGCTTTCCTGGTATATTAACCCCTTTCCAATGGCCGTACACATATGTGGCAGCATGGCAGTGGGCTTTAATGGCGGGCTGCCCCATATATGCGTACAGCCAGCCCCACTGTTTTGTGCTGGAAGCAAGCTCACTGGGTGCCCCAGCACTGTGACCATGCTGTCACCGATAGCTCCCAATCATGTCATCAATGCGACAGCCAATCATAGTGATCACATGACCAGGAAGCTGCCTGTGTAATTCCTCTGGCGTGAAGAACTTTTAAAGGACTTGCTCTCATCGGATTTAGTTTTGAAAATACAGTATAATTGCATATTAGGAGCTGTTGTATTTGATAATAAATGTGCTTGTTGTACAGCCTGTGAGCCTGCTGTGTGTCCTCCAGTTCTTTCAAAAAGTTATATGAAATATGATTATAATTAGGGATGCGCTGATACCAAGTATTTGGGAGAGTACTCGCACTCGCCCAAATACTCCGATACCTTTCCAGATACAGTAACTTCCGGTCAGAGGGAGATTTCCTCTGACCAGCAGTGCCACGAGGGAACATGGAGCCGGCTTTCCAGCCAATCAGGATGCTGGGCGACAGGTAATGACTCACTGCCCGCCTTCCTGATTGCGCGGGAAGCCTGCTCCATGCGGTTTGGCCGGCTCCATGCTGATTGGCTGTGAAGCCGACTCCATGTTATCGGAAGTACTGGTATCGGTACTCTGTATCAGCGAGTACCGAAATATAAATATCATCTGTACTCGTACTCAATACTGAAAAAAACGGTATCAGTGCGTCCCTAATTATAATAACTTAGTAGATTATTTGATGTGTCAGTTGCAAAAAAATAAATATTACAAAAAATTTGCAGTCATTTCCCTTCAGTGTACAACATACATTTTTAGTCTTAATGGACTCAAATCGTAAAGCGTTTTTCCCTTTTAAAATGCATAATGTTAGAATCCAGACCTAATAGTCATATATGTCTTTGCAGATTCCCAAGTTTCTGGAGTTGTGCTCCGACAGTGCTTGGGGGATGCGTAAAGTTTGTGCCGAGTGCTTCATGGCCGTGTCATACACAACTTCCAGCGAGGTGCGACGGATCAAGCTTTCCCCTCTCTTCATAAACCTTATCAGTGACCCCTGCCGATGGGTAAGTTGCCCTGCTCCTCAGTGTAGCAGTTCCTATCTCTGTACGTTTAGCTTGGCTAAATATATCCCTATAATACTGGCTTGTATGCCTTCGCCACATAACTGTTTTTTTAAGGGGTTTTCCAAATTATTTAAAAGGGTTGCCTTTAAAAAATAGGAAAAGATTGCCTAAAGGCATTCCTAAATTGCAGGCATTTAAAAGTGCACCTTGCTATTGGTCGGGGATGTTGTCTATCATAATGATAGACAAGTAGGGAGGCACCGAGGGTAGGAATGGTTGGATCAGACTTCTACACTGAGGAAGTATCCGTGTTTGCTGCATAGAGGTCCAGGAACATCTGGGTGCTTGCACTTTAAGCACGCATTTTTTATTTTATTTAGAGAGGTGTTCTTTAAATTAAAAGGGAACCCTTGTATCAAACTCTTCCATGTCTTCTTAATGGAAATTATTCAACTCAGTATCTGTAACCCTCCTCCTCCAGAATTGCTTTACAATAAAAATGTGTAGTGGTCCTTCTATGTTTTTTTTTTTGGAGGGGTGTAAGGCTCATGTCAGATTAATTCTTTGAATTGGAATCATTGGGAAACTGCAAATATGATGGAGTCTGTCACCAGCAATAACACAGCACTTTTTGTTTAAAATAGTTATAGTATTGTTGTTGATCCTGCCTGGTTTTTTTTTTCCGGTTCGCTGTTCGTTCTGCAGTGAAATCACCTTGCAGCGTTGTCACCCTGTGGCCAGCATAGTCATCGATGGTTATGTAGTTTTAAATGGACTACACATTTGTTAACTTCATGAATTGGACCCATTGTCTTAGAAATGTTCATGTCTGACATTAGATCCCAGAATGCATTGCTCCAGTAACTACCATGTTTACCTGCTAAGTGGCAGTTATGAGACAAGCTGTACTACACCAGAGATAGGAAAGAGGGGCTTTTGGATTTTGGTCTCATTTGATCGCATCTTGCATTGTCTGAAAAGTCCTGAATAGCCTCTCTGTGTTCTTAACAGATTCTATGATTTGCATTACAGGTACGACAGACTGCCTTCCAGTCTTTGGGTCCTTTCATTTCCACCTTCGCCAACCCATCCACAGCAGGATTATACGTGAAGGAGGATGGGACACTGAGTATCCGACCTCCTGCAGAGGACATTCGGGACAGCATATATTCTAGGTACAACCTGCCACCTAGGCAAGCGATGGTCACCCAAGTGCGCTTATATTTGACAGGTCATATAACTCTGGTTCATTGACCCTAGAGCACTTGTTTCATTCTACAGGCTGACTGGCATGCAGCCAATGAGAAAAAGACAGCATTACATAGGAGCTTGTGCTTGTGATGGTCATGTGTATGCATAGCCGAAACTGTTTCATTATAGCATTTCAATTCAAACAGTCCTAGTCTAAAATGAGTCTGAACAGGGCAGCCTGTAAGAGAAGAAGCAATATACAGATGACCTGTGTTTTTATAAGCTGCTGCTTTCTGGCTGCTGCAGGTATTCAACACTACAGGTAGGTCAAATAACTGCTCCACCACCACATGATATGGTTTCTCTTGCTCGCGGTTACATCCTGTAGTGACATACCACCCAGCAAGAAGAACCACAGCATGCATCACATATGTTCAACACACCCAGAAGTGTGGAATACGTTCAGCATCTGGGAAGCAGTAAAATGGCAGCTTTTCAACACATGGGCCTCTGGAAAGGTAAGTGTATTGCTACTTCTATAGTGGTGACAGGGTCACTTTAAAACCCAAGTCCAGCTAAAACAGTTGATCCATCTGTAATTAAAATATTACATTTGGGCAGACTATCCCTTTAACCTTGCCGTCCGCCCGTAGTAAAAAAACGGACGGACGGCAATTTCAAGGGAGGTATGAAGGTCAAACATTTAAGACCCTGCTATGTGTGGCCTGTCTTGTAATCTCAGTAGTTTTGTGCACTTTGCTGATTTATATACAGATAATCACTAGAAGGAGAACCTGTATATCGCTATCAAGAAAAATGTAAAACAATAAGCCAAAATATGTTCTCATTTTATAACAGACTATAGCTTACCTTTGAACTCAGAATTTAATGGCAATTTTGGTTTATTCAAAGCTTCCAGAGTAATGATTGTCATTTGTTTTATACGTAATCATAGCTCTGGAAAGTGTTTGAACACAATACCCAGCCAGACCTACGGCAGCAGGGACCCACAGGCATCTCCCAGAAATAGTAGCACAAGCATCTACACACTAGAAGATGATGGAAACCCCAGCAGAAGATCTCCAGGCGGCAGTGTCTCTGGAGAGGGGCGCCCACCTGACGCTTTTAACTCTTTCCTGTTTTGGAGGAGCCCCCTGCCTGACATCACTGAGGAACTGGATCTGCTGCCTGTAGAATCACCATTGGAACCAGAACCCAGCACTGTTCCTAAAGCGTGTCTGGCCAGCAAGGACATAGAGCAAGTGCTGCAGAGTTTACAGGAGCACATGGATGATCCTGATATACAAGGTAAATTGCTTTGTCATTTTGGACCAGGGATACTGCATGAATGATAGAAGATATAGGTTTTATTACATTATACTGCAGTGGTACAAAGGACCAGTCTGCTGAATACGGGACATGTCAGTAATAGGTGGATGCTGGCGTACTGAATGACCCAAAGGCTTTGTTTGTCTCTTGTGGATAGCATAGAGACCTCCACCTTGGGGTTCCCATCTCTGCCCACACAATAGTCTTCCTCCTTCTCCACCCGTCGACTATGCAAGTCATCCTGGCAATGACTGTGACAAGTGGGTGGAGATGGGAACTCTGTTGCAGCAATCTGGAGCTCCTGAGAGATATAAGAAACAGACATGGATTGCGCAGACGAATCCCAGGAGTGGGATTGGACAAGCTAACATTTGTGTATTCAAGCAAACAAGTTCTTGGCGGTTCCCCTTTGCCTGATCCGAAAGTCAATTTCCATCTTTCTGTTAATTAAGATTCACTCTGTTGGCATCAACTTATAACCGACATTTCAGGTGAGCTGATGCATGGAAATGGAAAGATACAAGTTGGCAGTTATAATAGAATTGTTTTTTTTTCTTCTGTGGATGAGGAAAGAATTATCCTCCCAACTCCCCTCCACAGCCATGGTAGCCAAAAAGGCTGCAGCCTGTGCTTTCCCCTTCCGAGATGCATCCTTCATAGCAATTACACAGGGGTGATGAAGGGTTCCCCCAAAAAGCAGTAACTTGTTAGGGCTGGACTTTTATGTTATTAATTTATAGGCAGGTTTAGTTTATTTCAGCTGTTCATGGTGATTTACTGTCTGTGATGTATTCCAGCCCAGGTTGAGGTTCTGTCTGCAGCGTTGCGGGTGGCCAAGCTCGACTCTTCACCCCAAGAGGAGAACAAACAGCCATCTGAGGAGCCTACACCTACCCCCTGCACTGCACATCCAAATACAGAGGAAGAGGGCAAGTCAGAACTGACAGTCACCTCGGAAGACCTAGTGAGTGTCTCCTGTCAGCAGATTGTGTCTGTGTCTTTTTGTCCATGGAGCGTTCTGTGTGTATGTCCATGGAGCGTTCTGTGTGTATGTCCATGGAGCGTTCTGTGTGTATGTCCATGGAGCGTTCTGTGTGTACGTCCATGGAGCGTTCTGTGTGTACGTCCATGGAGCGTTCTGTGTGTACGTCCATGGAGCGTTCTGTGTGTGCGTCCATGGCGCGTTCTGTGTGTACGTCCATGGAGCGTTGTGTGTGTTTGTCCATGGAGCGTTCTGTGTGTACGTCCATGGAGCGTTCTGTGTGTATGTGTATGTCCATGGAGCGTTCTGTGTGTACGTCCATGGAGTGTTCTGTGTGTGACGTACGTAGAGTGTTCTGTATGTATGTCCGTGGAGTGTTGTGTGTGTGTGTGTGTGTTTTGTCCATGAAGTGTTCCATGAGTATGTATTTGTGTGTTTTTCCATTGAGTGTTCTGTGTGTGTTTCTGTAGAGTGTTCTGTGTGCGTTTATGTACGTTGTGCCGTATGGTTGTATTTGTCCATGAAATGCTCTGTGTGTGTTGTGCAGTGCTCAGAACAGAGGACTTCATTTATAAAAGTGTCTGGAAAAAGAAGCTCTCTGTGTCCAGTGTTTCCTATACAGGATATTCCTAGCTAGTTCAGTCCTAATGTGCCATGATGAGTGTATGGTGAGCAGACTGTTGCAGTGAATGGCCATGGAAGAGCGGTGCTGGTGTTGCAGGGGATCTGGGCAGTTTTGTACCATAAACTATTCTTCTCTGCTGACACACTAGAATGAATAAAGACAGCCGTAGTAGTTCAGGCTTCTTGAGGTAGCAACGGAAGGTCAGATCCTGCAATGATCTTCTACTGAAACCTGATTGTTGATGATGGGGAAATGACCAGCATGTTGTGAATAGTGGATGTGCCAGATGAAGTGTCCCCGGGTCTAGTGCATCCTTCTACCAAGGTTTGATTGCGGTCTGTGAACCCACTGGGATTTATTCTCACTTCCTGTCCCTGAATTAGCAGGAGAAGAAATAAGGAGAGAAGTTGTCACTGGCACAGGAAGACACGGACCGCTTTAATAACCTGACAGAAGTTCCCATACTACCCATTTTACTGACACATACTGCTGTATGTGTGCCCACTGGAGAGATTTCCCATTTTTCCCCCTCCCAACAGGAAATGAGGGCAAGTCTCCCCAATGGGGGCACAGACTGTTAATAAATCCTTTTTCAAAGCTAAATTAGTTGTTTTGGATGCAGCTGGATTAACATCTTAATGAATAAATGGCAGACTTTGGTTAGTTGTGGCTCAACACTGTTCAACAACGCTTGTTGCAGATATTGGTGTAGTAAATCGATGGTGAATAAATGGATCCATATCTCATAATCTTTTCTTGTTTTTTACATATCAGATGCAGGAAAATGAGGCTCCGGTTCCTAGTGACTCTATACAGGAAGAGGATGACACACTGAACCAGGAAGAGGAGAAGTGTAAAGTGCAGGTCAGTGTGTTACTTACACTCTGCTTATGTCAGAACATTTCCCTCCTCTGCAGAAAGCCACCTGTCTCTCATCTATTACTGGAACAAACACTGGTGGTAGATGATAAAGAGGTTCTCCGGGAAAGAGTCAAATTCCAGTCATGAAGGAAGAGGATAGTCAGTGATTGACAAAACTCTTTGCTTTTCACTCACTAAAAAACTAAGGGATGTTTACCACCCGCTGATACTCATCACCCTCCCCATCCATTGAAGCCCTCTGTAAACCAAGTCCTTCTGGGTATGGAGAAGCATGAAAAGGGGGGGGTGATCAGTGAGTGGGGGTTCTTAGGAGCGTAAAGTTACTTTAAAGTGACAGTCACCTCCAAAAAAAACAGTCACCTTCAAAGGAATAGATTTTATATTCATAGCTAATCTTAAGCATTTGACACTTGCAGAAGTGGCAGTCATCTGTGACCCCTGCCACAGGCTTTGATCCTTCGTCCGCCCCCAACCTCAATACAAACACAGTAGTACGTTAGAGGTGGAGGAACGAACCACAGAGTGCATTGGGGGACATAGGCATCTGCCACTTCTAGAGGTGTAACACCTCTTTTGTAGGGAACTGTTTTAATTTATTTTTTCTTTAAAGTGACACTAAACTCAGGAGTTAAATCTTAAGAATGAATTCCAGTACCTCAACTATTAGCAGAAATGTAGCTTACTTATGCATCACTCGACTGTAGTTCCTCAAATCATATCTGAATAAATGCTGACACTGGAGGGAGGATGGCTCCTTTTGTTCCCCATGGTTCCTGTGTGTAATGTGACGTAGCCACTGCTCCAAGCTCACTCTCGTTAAGGACTACAATCTTACATTTAGTTTACTTATTTGATTTGACATTGTAGTCTTTTATGGATTGAGCTTGGAGCGGTGGCTACTCTACCACACACAGGGACCATGGGGAACAAAAGTAGCCGCCCTCCAGAAGGAAGGACAGTGTCAGCACCAATTCAGAGATGATTTGAGGATCTGCAGCTTAGTGACGCACAAGTAAGGTACAGTTTTATTAATACATGGGATACTTGGATGCATTTTTAAGTTTTAACTCCTGTGTTTTGTGTCACTTTTGTGTGGGCCCTTTTATGATTAACTAGACTGGTTTTGTTTAAATCAACTGGCATAGCTTCTAAAAAGTCTTTGCAAAAGATGAGTAAAGAAGCCCTAAACGGTGACAGAATTTAGGTGACAGTTTGGGATATAGATTTGTTTCCTCACAACTGACATAGTGACACTTAGGGGTCTATTTATAAAACAAAACAACTGTTGTGAGAATGAGCCAAAAACGATTGTTCTTCATGGAATGTCTCTTTTGGCTGAATGTTTTTCAATATGGTTATCCTGTACTTTGGAAGTTAATATTGTTGTCTTGTATCCTGTTGTCCGTTTTTTTTTTTAGCCGTCAGAAATAAAACATTGCTAACGTTTACTCCACATGTTACAGGATGTTGTACCACAGCTGCTGCTTGACCAGTACCTCTCCATGACCGACCCTGTCCGGGCCCAGACGGTGGATACAGAAATCACTAAACACTGTGCTTACAGCCTGCCCGGGGTGGCCCTGACACTGGGGAGACAGAACTGGCATTTTCTTAAAGACACCTATGAGACACTTGCAGCTGATGTCCAGGTACGGGTCACTTTCGAATGATGATTAGTATTTTCTTTTCAGTAAGATGGAGTAAAATGGGTAAGTGTTGACCATTCACCATGATAGCGGTATACGGACGGTGTTTGTTGTGCCCTACTGGCAGCGTTTAGGTCACATGACTTCATTTTGACATATAGGGATGCAGTCTCTCCAAAACATGGCTGGCCTGTAAGTGAAAGCTCCACCTACCGGTTCTGTTTAAAGGCAACCTGTACTGAGAGGAATACAAGGCTGTCATTGCTGACCTGCTTATGAAATACTAGTTCCCTGCTATCTTGGGCTTCAGCATTTTATAAGGATTTTTTTTTTTTAGTCATTGACCTGGGACAAGCATGCCGACTGAAAAGTCAAAGCCTCAGGAAGTACTGAAGCCACTGGATCAGACTGTCAAGACAGATATTTTGTATTTTCATCAGAAGTCTTCAATGTTGGCCCCTAAACCCTCTCATTACAGGTTTCCTTTATCACATGGCTTTTGCCGGGCTGGAACACCTATCCACAAATAATCGTTAATTGGGAGACCCAGCAGAGGGATGGTCAGCACAGTGGCTTAGTGCCTTGCAGCACTGGGGGTCCCCAGTTTGTATCCCAGGCAATACACTCCATTGAGTTGACATGTTCTCTCTGTGCTTGTGTGGGTTTCCTCTGGGGTACTTCAGTTTCCTCCCATACTCCAAAGACATGCTGGTAGGGTAATTTGCTCCTGACTAAATTAGCCTTGGAATGTGTGCGAGTATGTATGCATGCATGTGGGATAGATAGGGACCTTAGATTGAAAGCTCCTTGGGGGCAGGGACTGATGTGAATGAATAGTATGTAAAGCACTGAGTAAATTGACAGTGCTATATAAATACATTTACTAAATCAATATAAGCCCCGTCCCTAGGAGGCTGAACACTAAGAAAGATTTTTTAAAAAATCACTCTTCCATCATTGGCTGCTTATGGCCTGGGGAGGAATCCATACTGAACATCTAATGGTACTGCCCCACCACTTCTTGTATTAGTATTGTGTGTTCTACAAGAAAGCACATTGTAGATGTAAATAACTTGTATGAGATGAGCATGTCTTGTGTGTCTTCTCAGTGGAAGGTACGACGAACGCTTGCATTTTCCATCCATGAACTGGCAGTCATTCTCGGGGATAAGCTTACAGCCGCTGATCTGGTGCCCATTTTCAACGGCTTCCTGAAGGACTTGGATGAAGTGCGCATCGGTGTTTTAAAGCATCTGTATGACTTTCTTAAGGTATTGTATACCAGTGAGGACCTCTCCCCAGGAGCTAGTGCTAGAGTGTTATGATGGAAAGTAATTTAGCATGGAACTATGAAATCCTCTATATTCAATGCCGTATTGATGTAGAATTCACCAGAAGGATGATAACATTATTTTTGTATCTGTATTATTATCCTTTGAGGACTATTATTATATGTATTATTATCCTATTAGGACTCTTATATTCCTTATATTCATATGAGGCGTCTAATAGACTCCTCATTGGAATATATGGAACTTTGGTCAATGATAACAATAACAGTAGCAGTAGGGGTGGGGGTCTCTTTATTTGGGTAGTCCATTGGGAATGCGCCGTTCCCCTACTTCACCTCAACCAGAAACATTCTATTTTTACTATTTTTTTTAATTTATTTTTTTATTTTTTGAATACAGTAGGAGATGGTTACATTTTCTTGCAAGTTTTAATATCTCTCTGACCCCATTAGAGATTTTCCCTCACATACTGCGTATTACGTACCAGAGCCCAGGTCATCTCATATGTAAATAGCAAATTCAGGAGCTAGTCACATTTCCTGCATACTAGCCCATTAAGACGTGTTCTACTTATGAGTTTACAAGCTGGTGCAGGAAGGGTCCAAGCATTACTTTAGTCCCTGAAGTTGATGTTTGTGTATCAGATGGCTTTGTGGCTGCTGAAGCATTGCACAAAGGTATGTGAGCAAACAGCCTAGCTTCTCTAGGTGCCCGCTTGCCATTGCTGATGCACATTTGGCTCTTTTGAAGATCGTGCAAGGTCACTGTAACACACTGATTGCTAGGATACATATGCTAAATGTCCCTTTCTGATTTAAAGGCATAGTCCACATTTTCATATCATTACCACACTTGTAGTTCATTGTTTACTTCCTCCAGACCCATAACAGAAGGTCTGAACCTCTGTACGGATCTGGGGCTGGGGGAATCAATGCAGGAGCCTGTGCATTACACCTGTGCTGCACTGATAATGGTGGTAATGCTCTGCAGGCTTAAATGTAAACATGCAATAAATGCCCATTTTTTATTAATTAATTTCTGGGGGATTTTTTTTTTTTTAAAGGTGACTAAGCTTTGAAGTTTATAGTTTAGTTTAAACCTGTTCATTATATTCCCTGTAGTGTGTGACAGATGGAAGTGATGATTGTGAATGTTTTTATCTGTGTCTCCGTAGCTCCTCCATGCAGACATGAGGCGGGAGTACCTCTACCAACTACAGGAGTTCCTGACCACAGACAACATACGCAACTGGAGGTTCCGATATGAATTAGCAGAGTGAGTGACAATTACTGCCTGGTCTGGGAATGTTCTGTTCTATAAAGGAACAAGATAAGTCATAAATAATATGTATCATGTTCATAATGTATCTGTCACAATGGTGGTGCTATATTTGAAAGTGTGCCTAAAAGAAGAGTAACTAGTACTGCATTCATAAACTTGTATGCTGTGTTACAGCAAATCTAAGCCAATAGTATTGTGGGGGAAGGGAAGAGGGGATGGGCAAGAGCCAGAGAAGCTGGTCGCTGTGATTGCACCAGATCACCCCCAGTATTTAAAGAATGCCCGACTAATCTACTAGGCACCTTTTAGTGTTGATTTTTGATCCCTAAAATGTCTGCAGATTTGCTTGAAATAATGCAAAGTGCACAGAACCGGCATACAAGCAGTCTGTAGATGGGCCTTTTAAACAGAACTTACTATCAATGGCCTCCTTCATACTGGTCTCCTAATCTTTGATCTAATGATCAATACTATTTGGTAGGAGGCACTGTCTCTGAGCACTATACATAATCTATATATGGGTTTTGTTCCAGGCAGCTGATCCTCATTCTAGAACTATACAGTCCCAAAGACATCTACGACTATTTGCGAGTCCTAGCGCTGTCGCTGTGCTCCGACAAAGTATCCGAGGTCAGGTGGATCTCTTTTAAACTGGTAAGTGGTGCTCACGACTATATACTCTATGTTTATATGATCATTCATGTTTTTTTAACTCATTACTTACGCATTTTGAGATTGTTATAAAAGTGTATGATAGAGATATAAAGGGGTATCAGGCAAAAGCAAATAATAAGTACAGTGGTTAACATCTCTCCGTGTTAGAGATGTGTATGTATATACATATGTATGAGGATAGGGTATCACCCTGGTTATTGTTTGAGAAGTGCAGTAAAGGAACCCGACTCCCTTCTGGCACTAAACCCTGTCTTGCCACTTCTGGTACTGGACTGTTAAATGGCATAGCTGGGGTGAGGCGTTATTGCTATTTAGGTAGAGGCTGAGGTCTTACACCCTGTCCTTGGATTGTAGTCCCCAAGGCTATACTCTAGGACTCCATTTCTGCCAAGTCTGCTGTCCTTCTGCAAAGACCTGCCATTCAGCAGGTCATTGCAAGAGCTTCTGCTGACCCCTGCCGTTTTTATTTTGGACTGTTAAATAGCAGGGGCAAGTTTAGCATCAGGAGGGGGTGGGGGCGTAATACTGATTTGGACAGAAGCCCCTGCGTACAACCTTGTGCCTGTTGTTCCTTGTACTCAGATGGTGCCACCCTAATGATTTCTATACAACACATGTCTTTAATACAGTATCTGAAAGCACATACAAAAGGAAGTGTGCTGAGGATAAAAGGAGAATGCTGAGTATATTGGAAGGGGTCAGTGTTATGTAGCATTTGAAGACAGAATTCCTAGTGTATCAGGTGAGCAAGAAGCTCTGTGCTTTACCAGTCAGTTTTGAACTACCTAAGAGAACACACACAGCTCGGGATGTTTTCTTGCATACTGAAAGTCCTGTACCTGCTGATTATTTATCCCGGACCCTTGATGATCCCAGCACAACTCTCAAAAGGACAGCAGGAAAGGTTTTTAAACTTCTTTGATTTACACATATTAAGTGTCAGGTATTTTTTAAAGTGCACTTATCCTTCAGTCTCTGTAAAGAACTTGACATCCATGTAACTGAGTGCATGAGGAAGTTGTTGCTGAATTTTGAGATTATGAAATAATCCTGATGCCTTAGTCATCATCATCCTGTTTTTCAGTTGTGTTCACAGACCATAAACATTTTTGTGGTACTATGTTTTGGATTGGGTTTTTTTTTCAGATTGTGGCAATATTGCGCAAGTTCTATTCTAATGGGGAGACGGAATTAGGCATCAACTTCATCAACGAGCTCATCGTACAGTTCCGACACTCCAACAAATGGGTGGGAAGGCAGGCCTTTGCTTTCATCTGTCAGGTATGTCTTACTTCTTTGTTCCTCCCTTCTCTGATGTACAGTCCATAATCTCTCCACCCACCGCCATGGAGTGGCGTCTTCTTCTTCCTGTAAGGTTCTCTAACACACTCTGCTCTCTTATGCTATCCATATACATCTTAGTATACAGTGGAACCATTCCCTCCAGACCACACTCTATATTTCTTTTTTTTTAAACTAATATATTACTTTAGTAAAATTAGATTTCTGCGATTATAAACCTGTTTTGATTGTCCGCTTTTTAACTGCCAGTTAGAAGGGTAGAAGTTGTAGAACCAATGTTTGATGCACCTCCTAGGTCATAGCTGAGTAGGTCTGAAACAGGAAAGCACAACATAACTCCCATGATGCAGTGAAAGCTGATGTAATAAAAGCTTTGCATCCTACTGGCATGATGTTGTGAAGGCCTGAGCAAAGATAGTGTATCCCCCTTGATCCATGGTGCCTGAACTGTGGCTCTTTGGTACGGCCTTCAAAACCCCTGCAGACTTGCCTTGTAATAGCAGTTATCTTTAGCAGTCCCATGTAATGTGTCCCCAGTCTATTACTGATATAGTCCATATACCCACCGCCCTCAGATACTGCTATTCCAATGTGATAATATGGGTGCTACGGTTGTCGGTGGATGGCAACCACCTCGTCATATGAACAAAAGCATGGACACCGGCACTCCAATAGCTGATTTAAGTACGTCTATTTATTAACATACATGCTGCATAGCAAATACAAGTGATGCAACGTTTCGAGGTGACAAAGGATCCCCTTCATCGGATCCTCACTTGTTTGTGCCTGATGAAGGGGATCCTTTGCGACCCCGAAACGTTGCATTAAGTGTATTTACTATGCAGCACGTACGTTAATAAATAGATGTACTTAATCAGTTATTGGAGTGCCGGTGTCCATGCTTTTGTTCCCAGTCTATTACTGCTCTTAAAGCATGTCCCAAGTCACCAGCAACTCCTATAACATGCCTGCTGTCTCTGACCATCTCCTACAGCATGTCTACAGTCTCTGTCCATCTCTTGTAGCATGCCTGTAGTCTATGATCATCTCCTATTCTATGTGTCAAAAGTCTCTGAAAGGTTTATGTTGCCTTAACATTCACTGAATGTTTCATGCGGCACTATTGGTGATGTCATCAGAGGTCCCCTATATCAGGAGAGTTGACAGTCACTGCTCTAGGTCATTCAGCAGCATGTAAACTCCTGTTTCATACTATTCAGGTCTAATCAAAGCACAGGCTATACACAACATAGCTGTTGAGCTGCCTGTCTGACAACCGGTTGTTTTACATCTAAGATATTCATAAAAATAGCAAGAAGTAAACAATAATTTTGCTGTGATCATAATAAAATGTGTCTATGCCATAATATTTTCTCTTTGTTATTGACTGTGTTTGTTGTTTGGCAGGCGGTGGTGCAGGACGAGTGTATGCCGGCCGAGCAGTTTGTCGCTCACTTACTGCCCAGTCTTCTAAGCTTGGCGTCGGACCCTGTGCCCAATGTGCGAGTCTTACTGGCTAAGGCGCTTAAACAGACACTTCTGGAAAAAGGTACAACTAAAGGAGCAAATAATTGTGACATTTTACATGTCCCCGGGGCTCCCAACCAGTGCTTTAAGTTGCCATTGACCAACCGCCAGTAGGGGCAATCGTTCCAGGGTGGCACAGATGAGTGTGTGCTATGCTGCAGAGACCCTGGAACTAGCATTGCTTCAAGGGGGAACTCCAGTCCTGGAAGGAACCTTGGCTGTGGGCAACAGCCATCCTGACAGGTTTTCTTTGAGGGAGTTAAAGTTCCATATCAGAGTATGTACACAAACATATGCAGTCGATCTCTGCAATGCATGCACATCCCCCTGTCTTTTATCCCTTTAAAGATCCTGCAGGTACAGAAAATGTCTGTTGATCTGCCAGAAATGCACTCAGCCCTTAATTTCCACTTTTGGACTAACACACAGCATATTTGTGGACTGAATAATGTCAGCCCTACCCAGTTGTTTGCTAAACTACTCAAACCTACCCCCTTTCCTTTTCTCCACAAGATAATGACTAGTTATTCTGTGGTCTAAGATAAGAACTAATAGAGCTTAATTGGATTCCTTAAGATCACACAGGAAGTGACCCTGGACATAGCACAGCTCAGAATTGTTGACACGATCAACAGGTGCACTTATCAGACAGATATAATACAACTCTTTGGAGCTTTTTCATATCCGCTCCATTGAGCAGCATTGCCCAACTCAAAGACAAGAAAAAAGCCTTACTTTGTATAGCGCCTGGCCATACCAACACACTGCATTGACGTGTGTTGGATGAATTGATGCAGGAATACATTTTATAAGCACATAGCTACATAAGGTGTAATAATAAAAAGAGGAACAAGCAATGCAATACCTTGTAATAATGCATACGTCCCTAATTACAGGTATCTGCCCTATGTACATAAATCTGCAGACGGCTGCAGAGCCTCTTAGCCTGCCATTGATTTGTACAGGCTGAGCGGCCGCAGCCAATCAACAACATCTGATCATACCCACCACACAAATGCACTGATAAGGCGGATGGCTGTGTAAATGAGCATTTCAGCACAGTTGAGGGGTTATCAATTTACTGCAATGCAGTACAAAACAGGGGCTGTGAGGCAGAATGACTACTAAATTGCAGCTTGAGTCATCAGTAGGTAGCAATAAAGCTGAATCAGGAACTTCCTGATTGCACAGTGTGGCAGGGTTTAGCTTACATGTAGTCAGCTGTTTGCCTAGAGTCTAGTCATTAGGGCTTTTGTCAGGAAAGGGAACCTGTGATTGCTACATGACCACACTGCCAAGGTTTTAACAATATAAAGGGGCCTTACCTGACTCAGGAGACGTTTCATTTATTCTGCATGCCAGGGACACTGTAGTGACAGAGTAGTCGTCAATGAAACCTGCTAGGAGTTCTAACCATGTGCTGTTTCCTCCAGCGTATTTTACCAGCCTGGGTCAACCGCACTTGGAGGCCGTGGAGAAGACCGTACAAGCCATGCAGCTGGATAGAGACCAAGACGTCAGGTTCTTTTCTGCCACCGAGCCAAAACGACCCCTGAACAGCAGCACTTCCCTGGAGCAGTCCGTCGACTGATTCTTGTCTGTATGGGCTTTTCTCGGATGTCTTCTCTCGACCCCCGCACAACATTTTCTGTAAATATGAATGAATTCCACTCACAGAGCAAATAACCCCATCTTTCAATGGCATGAGGCGCGTTATATAGCCTTTCTTTTAAAGATATGGTTAAAGCAGAACTCCTCCCAAAACAGATGTGTGTAGGGTGGAATGGGGCAGGTTTTCTTCCTTGTTCCAGGTTCCTAAATGGCTTCAAGACGCCATCATGAAGGTCCTGCTCTGTGAATGGGGGCTTGTTGGACTTTGAAGCAAACTTGTGCAGGGCAAAGCAATAGGTTCTCTTTAATTGTCACCAAGTTCTTGACGGCAGTGGTGTTTACTGGGCTTACCGTTCATGTGATCATTGTGATTGGCTATCACAGTGATCACATGGTCCGCAGTCTGTCCTACCTGCTCCAGAGTTAATGAGTAACTAGGAGCTCCCAGTGCTGAGGCCCCAGAGTAAGCATGTTTCTGGCTGTACACACTTATCATTCATTCCCCCGCCACCCTGTTCGGCTACTGGTACTGGTACTTGGTGGGGGGTGGAGCTTATGACTCAGCTAATTCACATGGGAGTAGGGAGGCCTCAGAGAGCTGCTTTTTCTTGCTTCTAGTGGCAAAATTGGGTAGTGGGGGGAGCAGTAGGAAGTTGAGCATGTGCTGGTTCTCTTTAGTTGCACGGATATCTTTGGGGAAATGATCTAGTGCCAGAAAGTGGGGTACAGAAGAAAGGCACAAGTCTTTTTTTTTTTTTAGGATTGCAGTATGTGAGCAAGGCCTAAGGGATTTAATGTACAGCCCCACCCCCTGCAGCAATTTAGCCCCACCCCTTTACTAATGACCCCTTTCCTTCCTTTGTAGAGTATATAATGCTCTCTTGGCAGCTGTGAGGAGGTTAGGTTGTGCAATAGTTTGGCATCACATTGATGTTCTGAGGTGCTTTATGTTTGGCATTGAGGTGCCGAACTAATAAAGCATCCCAGGGCTCATAGTTCCTGGTAGGTCATGTGATGCATGATGTCATTAGTCTAGATCTCACATACATCTCATTGTACAGTCTTACCTGATTTCAGAGGCAGTGAGACTAGCAAAAGTCTTGAGGGAATGTTTTATTGGGGCAGTTCAGAATAGAATTCTCCCAGGGACTACCATTATATGGGATTATATGGCAATCCAGCGGCACTAACGCTTTAATGCGTTTAAAATTTAGCAATATTTACATTTCTTAAAGGAGAAACTTTAACGTTTTTACCCAATTTTGTTTTCAGTGTTTACAGAACTGTTTTGTATAATTTTTAATTATTTGTATAAATCTTTTATTTTGAAAAATAAACTTTTAATACAGGGTGCAGTCCTGGCACTCTGTATTCTGGTCTTTCTTATAAGAAAGTCCAGCACCGCTTGCCTGCTTTCACTGATCATAATCTTGTTGGTTGAATGCAAGCGGTAAATATGAAATATTTATATGCCGTTTTTCTTTTTCTCATGCTTACCTGGCATATGATTGTGTCTTTGTTTTTAGCACAGGGTGATATAAATTATAATTTAAGGGGGTTATGTATAAACAATTCACAGAGCCATTCGCCTTGTGAATCTTTCTGAATGTTTGTTATGTGCGAATGGACACAAAAAGGAACATTCTTTTTTTTTTCCGGGTCTAAGGCATTTAATGTAATATTACGTTTTGGCCACGAGATGGAGCTGAGGAGCATAGGAAATAAATATTTAAGAGCCATTCGCACAGAATGAACATTCAGAGAGATTCGCAGGGGCAAATGTCACTGTAAATAGACTCCATAGTGTAGATTCCCTTTAAGGCAGTCATAGTATATGATTGGAGCTTTACTCATAACACTTGTGAGTTCAAAATAATAACAAGCCTCTGATGTATATACACTTTCCATACGGCAAAGCCGGTGACACACGGCTGATTTGAGCGAACGCACCCAGCTATTGACCTTTCATTTTATTGGGAAAAAGGGGGTGGAGTCGCACCCAGCCATAGACCTTTAATTTTATTGAGGAGAAAAGAGGTGGAGTCGCACCCAGCCATAGACCTTTAATTTTATTAAGGAGAAAGGGGGTGGAGTCACACCCAGCCATAGACCTTTAATTTTATTAAGGAGAAAGGGGGTGGAGTCACACCCAGCCATAGACCTTTAATTTTATTAAGGAGAAAGGGGGTGGAGTCACACCCAGCCATAGACCTTTAATTGAGAAAAGGAGTGGAGTCGCACCCAGCCATATCCCTTTAATTGTATTGAGGAGAAAGGGGGTGGAGTCTTTTTGACAGAGACAGGCATATGTTAAGGTGCGTGGTGTCCCTACGCCTCAGCGCATGTTGATGCGCATTGCAACGCGTCTGCTATGAAGAAGCCCTAAGCCTACCCTTCAGAGGATGAAGACCTGCCCCACTCCATGCAAAATGGTTTAGTCTGTTTTGGGTCAAGTTCTGCACAAAATCCCCTTATATAAAAAGAATAACCCCCCCAGCGAACAGTATTGCATGGCGCTACAATAACACCCGAGCACTTAACCTTCTCCAAACGTCTTTAACCTCATGCATCCTAAACTCAGTCCTCAGTCCAAGGGCTTTCACCATGACTGCAAAATGGAAAAACAAAAAAAAAGCCAACGTGTGTTTGTGTATATACCTGTATAAGTTGGAGCATTGTACACTATAAGCTTAGTTAATAATATGATACATTTCTTCCAGCACATTCCTTGTAAATAATACAGTGAAGAGCGTCTGGCTCTGCGAAGCGTGACGCCATATTGTGAAGATGGTGAAACTGCTGACGTGTAAGTGAGCTGATTTTCTAAGCCAGATACAAGCCTGTGTGTCGCCTTCACCATTACATCGTCATGACTGGCACAGAAAGCACAGAAAGGAAAGTCTGTAAAGCATGAATCAAGGCAACTGGACTTGCTGTATTTTTCTTGACTTGAATTGAGAAAGCTGGTCGGATGGCCAGCGAAACGTCTATAAATACAGCAAGTCCAGCTGCCTTGTTCCATTTTTTACAGACATACCATGACCTGTATGAATGAGAACCTTCACAGATACACAAAAAGGAAAGTTCCTTTTGGCCCGGGGCTTCTGCGTAGCTCAGCAATGTGTGCGGGTGACCTCACGCAGCTCCCACCCTTTGTACATACTCCACACATGGATGACTGTTAGAGCCCTGGGGATTCCATGAGCAGCGTTGTGTCACAGGAAGCATTGCTATTTCCGCATCGGGGGGGTTATGTTAGAGCAGGGGTAGCAAACTATGTCCTTCCAGCTGTGGTGACATTACAAATCCCATCATGCATCTGCCTCTTGGAGTCGTGCCTGTGGCTGCCAGTCTTACAATGCCTCATGGGATTTGTAGTTCCACAGTCCTACCCCTTTTATAAGTAATTGCACCTTTGCAAAGCAGCTTTAGCACTCTTTTCAGAAGGTACACATGGACTGAATGGCACCAGAGGATGCCCAGTCTTAAATAAAGAGGCCAGTTTAGTAGCTTCTACTTCATGCAAAAGTCTTAAATATCATTTTACTTACTAGACTGACAGAGAAGTCCATGGAGGTCACATGGATTTTGCAGCTTCGGTGATCATAGTGACAGTCTTTGCTTAGCACGCCGCTGACGTCCCAGTGCCTTGTCTGTAAGACCTCTATGATGGGGTTGCAGAGGTGAGAATACATTGGCACAGTCTGTCTTCAGTTCAGTTGACGTTCAATGTTTATCTGGGGTACCTTGTTGGTAGAGGGTCGCTGCCACTCAGTGTAGCTGACGCTAACATCTACAATACTTTTAGATCTGTGGCAGTGCTGGACCAGTAGGAGGAGGAATCGAGTGTGAGTCTGAAACATTGGAGGGAGGTAACTCGTAATTTCAACGCTGATTACTGGGATTTGTAGTTCCCGAGCGTGTGTGTAAGGACCTGGTTCTGGTCTAAGGCTGCTGCTTCTCTGGTCGCGATGGGGGGATCACTCAACAGAAGTTCAGATGCTCAATGTGTGGTTAGGACACCTCTTAAAAATGGTCATCTCGGTGGAAGGTTCGTCTAGGTCAGGGATAGGCAAACTCCGGCCCTCTAGCTGTGGTGCAACTACAAATCCCATGAGGCATTGCAAGACTCTGACACAGGTATGACTCCCAGAGGCAGATGCATGATGGGATTTGTAGATGCACCACAGCTGGAGGGCTGGAATTTACCTACCCCTGGTCTAGTTTTTTTTTTTTAATGGATATGTTGGGTACAGCCAACATTTTGGGGGTGAATCAGACTCCCCTTCCAGCAATAACAACAGATTCATAGCTCACGGCAAACAGGTATGCAAACACACAGCGCTCATCCAGCCTTAACTCGGGCTACAAAGTACAGTTTGTTTCCTGAATCCACCACTTATTGTTGTTGCTCATGCCCTGAGAAAGGGGGAGCCTGATTTCCCCCAAAACACGTTGACTGTATCTGACATATACATTGAAAAAGAAAAAGTTAGACCAGGGGAAGGCAAACTCCAGGTGAAACCACAAATCCCATCATGCATCTGCCTCCGGGAGTCATGTCTGTGTATGTCAGAGTCTTGCAATGCCTCATGGGATTTGTAGTTACACCACAGCTGGAGGGCCAGAGTTTGGCCACCTCTGACCTAGAGGAACCTTCAAGCCAGGTGACCATTGCCATCTACAAAGTCAGAGTTAGAAAACTTGTGCGAAGCATCAGGAAGACAAGATTTGATGTGTATGTGTCGTATTTATTATTACTGCTTGCAGCTCATTGTCGGTGCATTGAACTAGCACCTGAAACGTTTGTAATTATATCAAATGAGCACACAAAGACTAGTGGCTTGGTCAGGGAGATGGTATCTCCTGTGAGTACCACATGCGGGGCTGTTTAATTGTATTCTCTAGTGAACCTGCATCCTTATATGTAAACGTATCAAGTTATTAGACTGGCATCAGAAACTGAACTCAAGCTTTACCGATATCAGAAGGTGCCCGCTCAATTAGTGGTGGCAGCTTAACGACGTTTATAGTGACAGGTCTATTGCTACCTTGCTAGCGGCTTGTATAATCCCATACCCTGATGCCTTTCTAGCATTTGTGGCATTGTCCTTTATGCGTTTAGCAGAGTGAAGGAACTTTCTTTGCTGCTTTATGCATTGAGAAAGCACATAGAACACAGGTACCGTGCATTTTACGCATTGAGAAAGCACATCGAACACGTGTACAGTGCATTT